CCGGGGATCAAGATGGCCAAGGCTCAAAAGTGAGCACGCTCCTTAACTTTGCACCTTAATCTCTTTGTTGGATCAGTTTCCTTATCTGCTAAAGGAAGACAGTGTACAACAAAGGATTGTTAGGAACATTAAGTGAATCTCCATATGCAAAGTGGTTAAAACAGTGCCTGATACTAAACAAGATCTAATAAGTAGATGGGAGAGTCCTTATTCTACAGTGTGCTGAAACTGACCGAAAAACTGTCTCGTTTAGGTCTTATTGGATGTAAAGATTAAAAGCCGCTCAGCTCAGTTAAAAAAAAAAAAAACACGCAAAGATCCTCAAAGCAAACTGTCAACCAGCATTTTACTGATTTCTAAGTAGCTGGTAGCTCAGTGTCACCTACTGGAGCTCGGTGTGCCTGTGTGAGTGTGCATGCCTGCATGTGTGCATGTGTATGTCTGTGTGTGTGTGCGTGAGTTGGGAGCAGAGTGTCTAAGTGTGTAACATCTTTGGTATCTATCTTATCTTCCTGTAGCTGTTTACCTGCCACCTCCAGGAAGCCCCCTAAATGCTAGGGATTCCTCAGATGGAGATGCCAGTACTTTCCACTCATCTTTTATTATCAGGGAGCCTGTGTTTCGCAGTGAATTTCCTTTCCATTCATTTTCAAATGACTTTTCTGATATGGGCCTTGTTGAATATGCACAAGATAGAGGCAGAGGTATGGTTGTGGATAGATTTGCATAAGTATAAATACAGTATATGTACCCATATTTAAGTGATATAATGATAATATTGTGTTGCCACCTCTGAGTGAAAGCTAATTAATTCAGCTATTGAGATGATAATGATTTCTTTCTCAGCTAATACCAGAGTAAAAAAAAAAAAAACAAACCTGCAGAATTGTCCTAGCTCTCTGTTCCTTTGACTGACTCATCTTAGAATAAAGAGTTTTATTTCTGTTAACTATTGCGCTATCAGCATCTCTGGCTATGATTTAAAGGGAATGTTCCTGGGAGAGGCTGAAGATCAGTGGAAAGATTGACTCAAATAGGCCAAAGTAAGTGATCACTGAGCTTAATATTTGGTACTAAGAAAAAAAATTATTTTTTGCCTTTGGTTTCTTTTAAAATGCATGCTTTGGCATTTGCAATGTCATTATCAACACTAATATGAAGCACAATCTTATTTTAGATTATGTGATTTCAGTCAACATTTAGGGGAAAGTTAAGGTCTTCCTACTGAACTTTATGCCACTTGACAAAATTTTGAGCAAGTCTGTGACTTTTTACACCTTTACTCTGACTTCTTCCTGTGTTCAAATTGACTTAGTTCCCTAACCTGAATGTTCCTGTTTCTTCCTTCATGTTCTCACTGTTATACCACCCTCCCATCTAGTCTTCTGCCTCCAGTCTTCCTGTTGCACCATTCTTTATATGCCCCAAAGAGTCTCCCCAACATGCAAGTTAGGTCTTACACTCCTCTGCCCAAATCCCCTGGTAACTTCTTTCTGAATAGTAAAGGCTCAGCTCTTTGCCTGGCATTAAAGGGCATTTAACCATATCTGCAAGGATAGTGGCAAGGAGGAAAAAGGAGAAGCAGAAGGGAAACAGTCACATCCTCAGCTGCCCCTAAACAGCTTAACTGTAGCTGACTGTGGGTTACACCTTCTCAGGGGAGATGTTTGCTTTTAAATCAAAGTTGACATTTTTATCACTACACCAGGCTGGACACAGTTAGAACAGAATTGAAACCTTGAATGTGACCTCTCCTTCCCTGCCTGGTAAACAGGAACTCATTTTCCAGGACTTAGCTCATTTCCGAGTCTGACCTCCTCATCTAGACCTGACCATTCTCCTCCGTCCCACCCCAGGGACGGGTTTGGTGGTCTGCCTGGTTTTGCCTTCCACCAACCTGTAAACTCTAGGAGGGTGGGAATGACCTCTTTACCTTTGTACCATCAACACCTGGAGCTCACTGGGGTAATATCCCCCAACAAAGAGATAATAAAAGCAATATATCTTAAAGAACATACTAAGGTCTTTCCTAAGAGAGACTGCATAACTCAAATGTGTCTTTCTTTTTGAATAAGAAATTAAAATCAGCAGCTTTCTGGATGATGCAGGCTGTTGAAAGCACCTCTGTCCCCAGCATCTACAAAAGATGGCCTGACAGCTGAGCCAGGATGGCCAGGAGGTGCGCAGCATCTCTCCATCCTAATGTGTCCTTGAGTAGAAGCTGTTCAGAGGAGACTTTTTACTCCTTCCTGCGTTTGTTCCACAGGTTTCTTCAGGAGAAGCATTACCAAAAATGCTGTGTACAAGTGCAAAAACGGGGGCAACTGTGTGATGGACATGTACATGCGCAGAAAGTGCCAAGAGTGTCGGCTCAGGAAATGCAAAGAGATGGGAATGTTGGCTGAATGTATGTATACAGGTATTTGCATCACGCAACTAAATTCCACTAAAAATCTCTCAAGGCAGATGTCAGGTAACTCATCTGATTAGAATGGTGCTTCCTATATTTAAGAAGGGGTTTACTAAATTACCGAAGCTCCTGAAAAGAGTAATGAACCCCTGAAAATGTCCAAATTGCCAGCCAAAGAGCATTTATTCATCTGAGGGAACTGATGGTGTTTTGCTCATTGTTCCAGCGATTTATGCATGAAGTGGCGTGAACCTACAGTTTTAATAGTGTGTCTGAAAAAGTAACACAATAACAACAGTCTGAAGGTTTCCTCTAAATTTAATTTACTATCCTTCTTATTTGTTCTTTAATTAGCATAAAAATTCACAGTTGCAGGAAAAATTTGGAATGCTTTCTAAAGTATAACTGCCTCAGAATTGTCTAAATAGAGTTTTAAACCAAGTCCTTTCATTAAGATTCTCTCTTCCCACAGTTCAGCGTCGAACCAATTTGTATAGGTTTACACAGGAAATTAACTACTCCGACTTTTAATACAATTTAGCCCTGGGATCTGATAAAGAGGTACTGTATTAACTGTTGATTTTGCAAGGAAACATAATCTTCATTGAAATTTGGAATGCATGAGAGTATGGAACATGTTAATTCTTCATTCTGCAAACTACAGACCACTCAGATTCTGACATATATCCTATTCCTCCTCAAAACACACATAGACAAACAACTGTTGCCAGGGGATGGAGACATTCAGAAATAAAAGACATGAAAGTCTTGGAAGGTGACTCCAGCTCTGCTATCTCCAAACTACACAGGCAGTTGGGAAAGACTCAGAAATAGTATGTGTGCAGGAGAGAGAAAAACAGGTCAGTGTAAAATAATCCAGATCTGGGTAGATGAAAGTTTTATAGTGGCTGATTGCAATCTCCTCCTAGCATATATGAAACAAGAAACTACAGCAGGGAGCTGCTGAAATCCAATCGAGCAGTGGAAACGCTCTCATACTGGGTAGCTCATGTAGCTCATCACTTAAATATGAACTTGTTCCAACAAGCATTGAGGGCATTTTTTCAAGACTCCATCTACAAGAGTCTCCAATATTATATATGAACACAAACTCATCCCAAAAGAGAGGCAGCGCTTCCTTAGGATCCTATTAAAGAAATTGTATGGACAAAGAAATTCCTTGAACTCAGTTGCATTAACATTAAGAGAGTAAGGAAGTTGAATGAGAATGTGGCTGATCTACATTATTTTAATAGCTGTTTGAGTATAAATGAAGGATGATTATTGTATGATCATTCAAAAGAAAATTTCAAATTCCTCTTGTGTTCTTTTCACTTTTAGCCATGTTCTCAATAATTTCTGATTTATTCATAGGAATAATCATTCTGAAAATTAACAGATTTAAAATTTTGCCCTAAAGTATGTTACCATGTTTCACTCACCATGTTTACTTATGTGTTTAAGGTAAAATTGGGTATTACTTCTTGTGACAATTATGTTATCACAGGTGAAAAATACTACTAACACTATGTTTCAAAAGACTAGCTTTCAAGATCCCCTCAACCAGGAATAGGTAGTGTCATTCACTTTTTTTGTTGACTGAATATCTTGTATTTGTACAATGCTTTGGTATTGCAAAATCTTGATATAAATCTCATTTTAGAAAATGATCTGATAATATTTAATCTAAGACTGATACTAATTCCATTTTACAAATGAAGAAAGAGAGTGGTTCAAGGCCAAGTCTTACAGGTTTAGAAGGTGTAGACTTTGGTCTGCCAAATTGCATTCAGGCACTGACAACACATCAACCATCTTGTGACCACACATCTACCAGTACTTTCTGAGCTTGGTGAAGTCACTCTGTTTATTTTTTCAGGCTTGTTAACTGAAATTCAGTGTAAATCTAAACGATTGAGAAAAAATGTGAAGCAGCATGCAGATCAGACCATTAATGAAGACAGCGAAGGACGTGACTTGAGACAAGTGACCTCCACAACTAAGTCATGCAGGGTAATAACATGCAATGGTGCCTGCCAAGCCCAGCAGCTGACGTTACTGACCTGGCTGGGGGACATTCAAATTAGGACCATAGCCATAAGCAGAATTTCATTACAATTGTGCAAAAGATAAGTTTCTTCCTCGGGAAGAATATTTACTTTGGTTTAAAAATTCAAGCAATAAATTCAAGCAAGCACAGTTAAAAAAGTAAAGGTTCTCTAACTCCTTGGCTCCATTCTAGTTTTACTACTAAGAGTTTACCAGTGGAAATGGCTTGGTGTTTAAAATGGATTTTCCAAATTGAGCTTTTTCTCTTTTTATTGAGGTAACATTAGTTTCTAATTCTATATAGGTATTGGTTGTACAGCTTCTCATTCTAGCAATTGTTTTTATTACAATATGTCCAACATCAAATGTCCAGTCACCATTTACCACTAACCACTTGCCCCCCACCATCCATTCTTTCCTCTCTCCTTCCCTTCTAGCAACCACCATGTGTTGTCAGAGTCTAAGGGTTTATTTGTTTAATTTTATTTGCTATTTTTACCTTTATATTTCACAAAAGTATAAAATCATATGGTATTTGTCCTTTCCATTCCAACTTATTTCACTTAGCATTATTTCAAAGTCCATCAATGTGGGCTCAAATGGCAAAATTTCATCTTTTTATGACTGAATAGTATTTCATTGTGGATATATATCCAAATTCCTTATCCATTCATTGTTGTTGGGAAATGGGTTGTCAAACTAAGCTTTGATGACCATTTATTCCCTATTGTTGAGAAGGGGGCTCCAAAAGGAAGGATGTGGACTCAATAGAGACTTATAATCTTTATCAAAGGGTAATATACAAGTTGTGGACCAGTAGAGAAAAGTCTTTCCCACTGAGATCATAAATCACTGAAGAAATCCATGAACTACTTGGTAGCATCTTGGATGATTAGTTAAATGCATCATAATAATACATAGAATATTTGGAGTAATTTTAATTTACCATTAGTTGAAAAACCAATAATCCATAATTATTCAAGTCATGTCCCTCTCAACATTTATTATACTGCTGAAAAAGAAAACTTTGTATACATTTAGCTCTTCAAATTTATTATTTTGTATTCAGAAAAAATAATTTTTAAAGTATTGTTTTGCCATAGTGCCTCCTCAGTAACACTTTGGTATAAGGAAGTGAAGAACCGACAATTATTCACCCTCTTTAAGAGATACTAGTGATGGAGAAAGAGATATCTGGGGTTTGAATTATCTATATTGATGACTCTACTTTAGGGATTGGCAATTTTTTTTTTCTTAAGGAGCCAGGTATTTTAAGTTCTGGCGGCACAGTCTCTACCACACTACTCAAATCTGACATTTTAGTGCGAAAGCAACATAGTCATTACATAAATAGGCAAGAATTATTTTGTTGTAATGGATTATTTTTTTAAGAGGTAGATTTGGTCATTGGGCCAGAGTTTTTGAACCTGCTCTATATGGATTTTCTTAAATGGATCCTCCATTTTACACGTGGAAACTGTTCCTAAGTTATGATTGAAGGTTGAACTTTCACAGAACTCTATGAATAAAGTTCAGTAGGTTTCATATTCAGACTAAAGTTTGTTCTAGGAAATATATGTAAGGAATGTTATCCCTGTTTTCTCAGATAGAGATTTGGAACAAACTTAGTGAAATATGATATGACTTGCCTAAGAACCCAGAGAAAAAGATATAGGTTATATCTGAGCTAATAGGTTCTGCCACATTCAGGACATTTTTCAACAAGTCCTACTAGTGGTTTTCTCCAGATTGAAGCACATCTAGGAAAAATGCCTTATACCTATTCTGCCTAATACCTTTTATTTTTTGTCAGTGTAGGAGAAAACTGAACTCACCCCAGATCAACAGAATCTTCTATATTATATTATGGATTCATATAGCAAACAGAGGATGCCTCAAGAAATAACAAATAAAATTGTATGTATATCTGAAAATACATGGATTTGAAGTTAATCATTTCTGGAGATTTTACTACCTTGGGGGTGGAATTTATATATTAATATATTACTTTGAAATGATTAGAGTTGAGAATTTAAGTTATACATTTAAACTTTAAGTACACTAAACAATTAAAGAGTAAGAAGTTTCATAGCTATCTTGATAATTCTTTCCAAAGATCTGAAAAATAGGAGCTGGGTTTAAATTTTATGTTCAAAATCTGGTTCCTTAATTTAACAATTTTATATTGGTTTACCCTCTTATTTACTTATTAATCATTTGTTTTTTTCTTAAAATTTAGTTAAAAGAAGAATTCAGTGCAGAAGAAAATTTTCTCATTTTAACTGAAATGGCTACCAGTCATGTACAGATTCTTGTAGAATTCACAAAAAAACTGCCAGGTATTTTTGTATGTAGTTACTTCTTTACTACACTGTGCAATATTATTGTAACATTGAAAGAGACAGTCTGTTCATTGTAAGATGGAATCACCTCACATCTGACTTAAAATAATATATCTAACTACCATAGACATGAAATGCTAGAGCCAGATATTTCAAATCTTTTATAATAATTCTTCCAAATGGATAGACTAAAAAATTGAAACTTTGTAAAGTTGACATTCATCCATTTACTCATTGAATAAACATTTATTGATAATCTAATCTATACTTAGCACCTAGGTATTACCTCCAAAGAGAGTGATTAAAGACTACTTTATATATAGAAATTAATTGCTCATTATATCTAAGAAAGACAGGGAGACTTCAGAATCATGTTTGAGTTGGGTCTAAAAGAAAAAAGGAGTTTTCCATGTGTATGTAAAAGAAGGAGCATTCCAAGTTGAGCAATCTCCTTGTGAAATGTAACAAGACGTGAATAAGAATAAGGTTATTAGAGCTGGAAGAGAAAACTCATTGTGGCCAATGTATATGGTGGGTTCCTTGATTAGACATAAGGTGTGTTGGTACCACACCGATAAAAGTTTAATTGAGGGATGGAATTCTTACCCTTTATGATAAAGAGCTCTTGGTGGCTTTTTTGTTAAGAGAGAAGCAGTAAGATATATACTATAGAGATATGACTGTTTTATAAGATGGATTTGAATAGGAAGGGAGTTGAGGCAAAAAACATGAGTTGGTGTACTACTGCACCAGTGCAGACAGGAGGGCTTGAAATAAAACATTAGTAGTGGGAGAGAGATGAAAAAGCAGAGATTAAAAAATTGATAGAACTTGATGAGCAAGAGTAAGTGTAGATGAGGTAGAAGTATTCTTATCCAGTTATTCTGACAGTACCAAGATAGAAAGTAGAATGTGAGATTCCTATTTACCAGCCCCAAATTCTTTCAGCCATATTATTAATATGATCTTATTCAATAGGTTTAAGTTGTTTTGGTGTTTTAAATATATATCAGGATATTAGAATCGCCAGGTCTGTAAATATAAATAGTGATGTAACACTAACATTAAATTACAGAAAGTAACTTCTGACATAGGATTTTAACTTGTTATGCTAATTTGCCTTTTTTTTTGCCATCACTTTGCTGTGTTACTGTACCATGGATAGACATAGACCTACATAAAACTCATAAGGTATGGGGAGAAAGTCCTCATTATCATTGAACTATTAATAGTCTCTCATTTCTTTATTTATAATGAAAAAGGAAGTTATTTTGGTATATGCTAAGTAATCTTAAGGCAGTTTGATCAGAAACAAGATTATATGAGAGTGAAAACTAGTAGTGGACCAGAAAAGGGAAATATGGTATTTTTGATTGTTTATAAGTTTTTTTTTTTTTTTTTACTTTAAAGGTTATTTGGTCTTGAACCAAGAAGTAATGGAAAAGAAAATCTTACTTATAAGCTATCTTCTTAGCTTATCTTAAAGCAGTGGTAACACCTCTTCATTCTCAGTGCCCAACTTAGGGAGAATGAGAGCACAACAATATTCAATTAGTAAAGCAGAAGGAAAAAGATATAGAAAGAAATAAAAGACAAAAAAAGCCCTTGAGAAGGAAAAAATTAATTCAACAATAATTGTAAAAATAATAAAATTATTACAAATAGCAATGATAGTAATGAATACCAATAATGACAGGGTATTTTCTGAAGGGCCTAGTTGAGTCATTTCATTGTACAATTGATCATAACCTGTACCAGGCACTGTCCAGGGTGCTAGAAATTTGGCAAGGCTCCTGCCCTCAAAGGAGTCTTATATTTTATGAAATAGTGATGTTTAATCTTAGCATTACTCTCTTCTCTAAACTGCCGTCACTATTTAATCATATCCCAAGCCATTGAGACCCTGATGACATTAGTTTATTTGTGTTGGCTGTTTATATACCTGTGCACTGAGCTTGTTATTTAGTCATTCATTATCATTGTCATTTAGTTATTCAACAAATAATTTGGGGTATCATATATGTACTAGGCATGAGAGATATAAAGGTCAACAAAATAGTCAAAGTCTCTGCCTCCAAGAAGTTTACACTCTAATAGAGGTATCAGACACCTAACAACTATGCAAATAAATCTATAATATATCAGTAGAGGTAAGTTGTGTGAATAGAAATAAAACCATAGGGACTAATGAGTACTGGAGAGTACTATTTTAGGTAGAGTCACCTTGAAACAAAGACCCACATACAGTGAGGTAGTGAGGCATGGGGATAACTGGGAAGAACATTTACTCCTGATGTTAAAGCAGGCTTGTGTGTTCACAGCAGAGCCAGGGGCCCTGGGGTAGAGCACAATGAATAAGGTGAAAGAGGAAGAGGAAATGAGGTCAGAGCAGCTTCTGGAGACTATAGCACATAAGTCTGGAAAGAACTTTGAATTTTCCAGGCAGCGATGTATTTCTTTAGGTCATTGATTCTATGATTCTCTCTACCCTGCATAGTGTAGTGTTGAACACAGAGAAGATATCTCAACATGACCTTGATTGGCTTTTTTTGGGTGGAGGAAATACTACCCATTACCTAGATTGATTAGACTCATAAGTCAAATATTCCTTTAAATCTCTGGATACATATAAAGATTTTTCTGATTTGTGAATGCTTTTCTGCAGAATTTACCTCTAACACCAGCTGTGACTAAAATGATCTCTCAATGAGTATCTGCTTGCCTCTTATTTTTGAGGGTTGCTTCATCAGAATGAGCCTTTCTCTGTACACACATGTATATACATGTATGTATATACACACATCCATATACATACATGTACATGCATACACACATATACACATGTATCTACATGTGGTATGGACTTGACCTCTTTTACCTCTTGTTCAGCAAATCCTCCTCAATGAAGATAAAAGCCAATTTCTATTAAGGGGGAATATAATAAATATTAATCATGTTACAGGACCACCCAATCATAAAACAATTATAAAATAACTTTATGGAAATGTTTTATAAGTGGGGGGGCTGATGGAGGTGATGAAATATTGTTATACAACATTCACAACTTCTTTTTTTTTAACATTCACAACTTCTTGTTAATGATTTCATTATCATCTTAATTCAGGATTTCAAACATTGGACCATGAAGATCAGATTGCTTTGCTGAAAGGGTCTGCAGTTGAAGCTATGTTCCTTCGTTCAGCTGAGATTTTCAATAAGAAACTTCCAGCTGGCCATGCTGACCTATTGGAAGAAAGAATTAGAAAAAGTGGTAAGTGGTAAAAGTGGTTAATGGTACAAAGAGTTTGTTTCTACAAGTAAGAATTTGCATGCCACATAAAGGCATGCCTCTTACCTAATTCATGCAACATTATATCACCATTGTGACTAGCATGGAGAATGACCTTAAGAAAATAGGTGCTGAATAGATGAGATTTTAAAGGGTTGATTAAAAAAACTGTTATCACAGCAAAACACCAAAAATACTATTTTTACTTCTCTAAGATGAAGGTCCACCGAAACAATTTTTAAGACTGGAAGATTAGTCTGATAAGAAAAATAGAATAAAATATCTGAGATTATTCAGTCCAGAAAAAGAATCATTTATTCAAAACCTTCAGATGTGAATGACAATATGTCAAACTATTATCCTTCTCTTTCCAAGCAAGATAAGAAAAAATAATAGCCGCAGTATTTATACATCATTTATTAGGTTTCAGACACTTCTAAATACACATATGATTTCACCAAATTCTTGCAAAAATCCTAAGAAATAAGTACTATTATTCCAATTTTACAGGCGAGGAAACTAGGACACATAGTAGCTAAATAACTTTTTCAGAGACAGAAAGGAAGTCTCACTTCAAGAGTCATATGTCTTAACCAGCATTCTACACTACCATCTCCGAATAGCTCCCCAGATTTCTCAGATTGGTAGCTCATTGGTCTTTCTCCTCTTCCTTCATGAGCTGAGATTCTGTTTAGAATCCTGTCATTTTCAATTGACTCTGGCAATGTGGCAACTGACCAATAACAATGCAAGCCAATTTCCATGGGATTTTTATTTATTTATACGTTCTCTCATTATTTTCCAACAAACTTTTATTGAGTACTGATATGAACAAGATTCACTGGAGACATAGGGATAAGTAATATAAAGTCACAGCTTTATATTAAAGGATTTCATCTCAAGGATTTCATCTTCTAAGGGAAATAGATATATAAAAAATCACAATAGAGTGTCAGGTATAAATTAAGTTGAAGACTGACTGCTATAACAGAGATTAAATTAAAGGAAACTTAAACAAGGCAGAATCTTATTTCAATCTTGGGGTAGACTGAACATAAGGAAATGGTGATAGGGCAGAAGTGCCCCTCTGTCTTGTTGCCCATCCAATCATTCAGTGTTGACTTTGGTCCAGAATGGTGCACAATCATACCCACATGCCAAGCTGTTGGGAGGGGCAAATAGGGCAAAGAACAGCACACCCTCCCCGTAAGGAAATGACTCAGAAGTGGCACACACAACTGCTACTCACATTTCATTGAGAACTTAACTTCCTCATCACACTTTATAGCAGCTCTTTCTGTTCAACAAATATATATTAAATACTTGTTTTGTGCCAGGCACTGTATAGTTATTGAGGGTGGGGAGATGAAACTATACAGTCTATCATCTAAGAATTTATAATCTAGTGGGGGAGAGATACAATCAGTGTGCAATGTAATAAGGACTATTGGGAAGGTATGTGCATAATGAAATCAGAGATAAAGGAGTGCCTGCAGTCATGTATAAGGCTACTTGGTGAGTCAGAAAAGATTGCAAAGTAGACAATTGAATCAGGAAGGATGGTTAGGAACTTTTCAAGCCATGAATAGCTGAGAAAGAGATTCTGGGACATATACCCATTATATTATATTAGTATAGAAATTGCCAGTGGAAAGAGGAATGAGAGAATAGCCAGGTACAGGATTTACAGGTAAGTTGATATTGCCATAAAACAATACTTATAAATCTGAAGAAGTAGTAAGTGCTAGTTTATTGAAAGCATTGACTGCCACAAAAGTGGTTTAATTTAATTCTCATAAAATGTGGAGCCTTTCTAAAACTCTGTGCAGATGTGACAGGAACCACAGTAATGCTGTAGAAAGAGCTTTATAGCCATAAGAATTGATACAATAAGCAGGGAGGTCAGTGACAAGATCAGTGCAATAACTAGGTGAGAAATGGTGAAGTCCTTTTTGGTTAAAAATAAGTAATTTTGCTGGGTAAATTTCAGAATTTGTGATTCTGCAAGTTTCAGAGAAGTTCAAGTTTTCCAGAATATGATCTGTATAAATAAATATGCATGCCTCTAGTTCAAAATAAGATACTTGCCCAAACATCAACCACATATTGTGACAATGAAAACCACCCAAACTGACATGCTGCTTAGTATTTTGTAATGATGGTTCCATTTATTAATATTTATGAATTTCTTTCTCCCAATGGATTTTCAGAACATTGCCTCTTCCACACACCACCATAAAACCTGATCTTGCAAGATGACCTTTCAGAATAACTTTTCATTCTTATGCAAATGTAACATATTCTTATTTCAATTGTACATTTAATTCCAGAATAAAATAATGTCTCAAGATATCCTGTTTATGCCTACAGGACTCTTTAAAGAATGTATTTCTTTTCTGTTCTTCAAATTCATACTCTTTTGTTTCCTATTATTAAATTCCAATTACACAAAGATACTGTCTCCTGAGGTACATTGACTTAATGGGAGTTATCGTGTTTATTTATGTTAATTGAGGCTTTAGAACATTTATCTGATAAACTTATGGTTGAGCTTTTCTACATAATTCTTGTGCATCATTTAAAAAAACTCCTGATGTTCTATTTCAACTAGGTTTTTGAGCTGGAATTTTTAATAAAATAGAAATAATCATATGACACCATGACAGTTATGATAGGACTGAAATAGCGTTGCTGGGTGAGTTTATGTTTAACATTAAGGAAATTAGCAATAACCTTTCACAGACCAGAGGAACTTATTTTTTTTAATTTCTAAACTTTATGTATTTTTTTTTACCTTTTTTTAGCGCAAGACAAATAAATGAAATACTCAATTCAGTGCATGTGCGTGAAGATGACATTTGTATCTTTTGAATTTGCATCGCTTGATTTTACATACATTGTCTTGTTAGTAGTGTTCCCAGTGACCCCTATCAGTGGATGCTTTGCTCCTATTTTATAGATGGAGAAATGGGACTCAGAGAGGCTAAATGACCTGCTCAAGGTCATACTGCTAATCAGCAGATTGCCAGGAGATAACACAAATGTTCTAACTCAAAGTCCAGCACTCTTATGTTACACTTGGCACTCGCCAAGGTCTAGTTGCCCACCTTTTGGCTGGCAGGGATCTAAAGACCCATTAAAACATATTTGCTGGGCCTCCCTGGTGGCGCAGCGGTTGAGTGCTGGGTTGCGAAGCTGCCCGCAGCCTCTGCAGCGCTGGTTCTATCCCCGGCTGCTCCCCGGCCACGAGAGGAGGGTCCCACATGGCACGCAGACCTCTCCTGCCGCCCGCTGCTCCCCTCAGCAGTGTACTTCGGTCCTTCTGCCTGCTCTGCTCCCCGCTCTGGCTCTGGTGGATTCTCTCACCCTCCCATGCTTCTGACTGTACCCAGTGCTTGTATGAATAAATAAACAAATAAATCTTTAAAAAAAAAATAAAAAAATAAAACATATTTGCTGCCCTTTGCTTCAGGGATAAAGTATTAGCAGGAGCTAGCAATTTGTCATTGCTTTTAAGTATGTAATAGAGACAATGGGGTCAGAGATTCTTATTAGCTAGTTTGCAATAACATAGTAAAGTATACTGTATGTAGTATATACTCTGCTTATTTTTCTGCTCTTTAAATATACATCTGACTTCACTGCTTTTAACCTTGACAACTTGCACAGAATGAACAGTTATTAAGAATTATCAGTATATTTTCTTTTTTTTTTTAAGATTTATTTATTTATATAAGCACTGGGTACAGTCAGAAGCGCGGGAGGGTGAGAGAATTCACCAGAGCAAGAGTGGGGAACAGAACAGGCAGACTGATGAAATACACTGCTGAGGGAAGCAGCAGGCGTGGCAGGAGAGGTCTGTGTGCCATGTGGGACCCTCGCCTCATGGCCGGGGATCTAACAGGCGCTGCAGAGGCTGCGGGCAGCTTTGCAGCCCAGCGCGCAACTGCTGCACCACTAGGGGAGGCCCTAACTGTGTATTTTCTAATGAAGTTGAAAGGTTGTGAATATAAACAAATACATGAGAAAATAGAAGAAAAGTAAGTGTTTAAGTTCAAGTTTACAATTCTTTTTTTTTTTAAGATTTTTTTTATTTATACAAGAGCTGGGGTACAGGCCGTGGGAGGGTGAGAAGATTCACCAGAGACAGAGCTGGGAGCAGAACAGGCAGACTGACTGAAATACACTGCTGAGGAGAGCAGTGGGTGAGGTAGGAGAGGTCTGCCGCACCATGTGGGATTCTCCCTGGCCGGCCGGGAATCGAACCTGCACTGCAGAGGCTGCGGACAGCTTCAGGGTGCGGTGCTCAACCACCTTTGCCACTGGGGATGCCCTCAAGTTTACAATTCTTAACCCCTCTCATTTTCATTTTCAAACTTGGTCTTGAAACATGGGTGGTGTGCTAGCCTATTAAGGATCCTGCTTATATTTCAGCACAAAAGCAGGAAGACATGAAAATATATCTCACTTGTTAGGGGAACTGTCAGTAAGGATGTTCTTGTTTGATGGTATCAGAAAATCCAGCTCAACATAGAATTAAAAAATAAAGAAATGTGGGCCTCCCCTGGTGGCACAGGCGGTTGAGCCCAGCATTGTGAGCTGTCCGCAGCCTCTTCAGCACGGGTTCGATCCCGGCCGGCGAGCAAGAAACCCACATGGCACAGCAGACCTCTCCTGCCTCAACCGCTGCTCCCCTCAGCAGTGTATTTCATCAGTCTGCCTGTTTTGTTCCCCACTCTGTCTCTGGTGAGTCCTCTCACCCTCCTGCACATCTGACCTGTATCCGGGTTCTTGTATATATGAATAAATAAATCTTTAAAAAAAATAAAGTAAGGAAATGTACTGAGTCAAATGAAAAATCCAGTTAAGTCAGACACCCAACCTACCATCAGAAATATCAGGTCTTTTTCTGTCTTTCTGCTTGACTGTCCTTGGTGTATCAGCTTTACCCTCAGGCTGGCTCTCCTCATGGTTACCTGATGGCCACTGCAGTTCTAGCTGTCATTTCTGGATACAACAATAACCAAAGGGAAAAAGTGATGACCTCTTCCATTGGTCAAATAGACAACCACCTGAATGGGCTTCAGGATCCAAGAAGAATTGGAGTCATTAGTTTACAAGAAAACTACCAGAAAGTAGAGACCTTAGTTTGAAAGGAAAACCCAAGGCAAACATCACCTTATATACCGTGTACCTTACATGCCTTGTACCTCAACTTCTTTGCTATGCACCAGTGTCATTTCTAAAAAAAAGTCAAATTTAGTGGTTCTGACCAAATAGCAAACAAGATTCTCAGTCTGATTGCCTCTTTTAATAAATCATATTACGGTATTTAAAGTGCTGGGAAGTATGTCTTGTATAATATGCGCACTTGTATATAATGTGCACATAAGCAAATCTGTGCTTTGTTTTTGTCCCCAGTTTAAAACTAGAAAGTTAATCAGGTAATAAAAGACATTTACATTTAAAATTAAAACTTGAAATTATAGCATTAATTCTAATCACATGGTTATTCTCTCAAAGAAATTTCTCATTACTGAACAATTAATTTATCAGTGATAATCCCCCCCCTTTTTTTTTAGAAAAACAAATAAGAAAGGGAAGAGAAGAGACTTTTTTTTTCACAACTGAACATTTCCTTGGCAGTCTGTGTGGTTAAGTTAGAAAATAGCCCCCCCTTGTGACCAAAAATCAGCTATTTGGGCTTAAGCGCAAACATGAAGCAAACCTTAAGCACGTCTCCAGAAAGGGGGAAGCAGGAAAACAGGCAAAGACTGTCTCTCTAGGGTGATGTTTGCATTACATTTCCTAGGTTAGAAATTGCTTGTTCATGTATTGATACACTGAGACACCCCTTTGCTCATGCTGGTGTGGTCAATGGTGATTATTGACTCCAAGAGCAAATTTGTATTTGATGTATCCTGTCGGAAAAAAATTTAACTCTCCTTCTGCTGTGTTTTCTACACTTTCTCTATGTTCACTGTTGGCCTTTACAACATGCATAAGTAACCAGCTGGGGAAGAGTGTCAGATACTTCTATAAGTGAGGATTCAGACGTTCAGATTTTGTGAAGTGTAATATTAGATGACTATTAAGCTCTTAGCATCTGGAATCCAATTTTAGTCTGGATTAGTTAGGACAAAGCTCGAAGGCTCTAGGTCTGATTTAGGATGGAAGAGATCAGTCTGTTCTATTTACCAGTCCTGGGAAACTCATCCTCTTCTTTTCATTCATAAATCACATCACAGTCTTCTATTTTTCCCCTCCTGCCTCCACAATTCCCCAGTCAGAGCTCTTCTGGAATAGAGCCACGTGCAGAACAGGCACCAAACTGATATTTGTCGAGTGAGTGGAGGAAGTGACACAAAGAAATTTTAAATTGCAAAGAGGAGTAAGCTAGATAAAGGAGAAGGAGGGTATTCTAAGTAGACAGAACATGTACAAAATGTAGGCAGTGTGAATTGTTTAGGAAACTTCAAGTGACTGAATATGGCCGAAGTAAAGGCTGTGTGATAAAAAGACCACACAGCTTAGTTCTCTGGAATCTGCCAGCTTTGGTTTGAAGCCTCGTTGCATGTCTCACCAGCTCTATGTTTTTGTACATTTTTAAAACCTCTGTGCATCTTTTGGGGGGGGGGTTAAATTAAATGAATGATAATATAAGAATTACTTGGAACAGTGCTTAATTCATAAAAAAGTACTTAATATATGTGAACTTATTATCATGTGGGTAAATGGCAGGAGGTAGGGAAGGCAGGTCAGGTTCCAGAGTTTTCTGTATAAAAGGAAGAAAAATTATACCAAAAGTTATAGAGAGTTTTTAAAGGTTTGCAAGAACCAAGAAACTTTGAATTTTAGAAAGATTATTCTCAGGTGGGCTGAAGGGGAACAAACTGAACACCACGACCAGTGAAGAGGCAATTGCCGGGCCTCCCCTGGTGGTGCAGTGGTTGAGCGCTGGGCTGTGAAGCTGCCCGCAGCCTCTGCAGCACTGGTTTGATCCCCGGCCGCTGGCGAGGGGCCCACATGGCACGCAGACCTCTCCTGCCACGCCTGCTGCTCCCCTTAGCAGTGTACTTCGTCAGTCTGCCTGTTCTGTTCCCCGCTCTGGCTCTGGTGAATTCTCTCACTCTCCCGCGCTTCTGACTGTACCCCAGTGCTTGTATAAATAAATAAATAAATCTTAAAAAAAATAAAAAAAGGGGGGCAATTGCCATAATCCAGAGGAAAAGAGGGCCTTAAACTGAGTCAATGCCGGGTGCAGTGGAGAGGAATGGGAATGCCAACTGTGACGTAGCAGGTTGAATCAACAGTAGTCAACGCTTAAGTTAGATGGAGGACTGGATCTCAGCTGTCAGGTGGGGTCAACTCGGTGGCCAAGGATATAATTCACTGAGAATGGAAACACCAGACAAAGGGTAGATTTAGAGGAAAATGGGGAGTTGAGTTCTTTACATGCACATGATATTGCACATATTGAGTTTGATGAGAATAGCTAAGTACCAATGTAAGTATGCAATGTATAGGCTTGGAACTTGAGAGAAAGGTTGCAACTCTTTATTTATTTTTTATTTTTTTTTTAATCTTTTTTTTTTTAAGATTTATTTATTTATTTTTACAAGCACTGGGTACAGTCAGAAGCGTGGGAGGGTGAGAGAATTCACCAGAGCTCAGAGCTAGAGCGGGGAACAGAGCAGGCAGAAGTGTAACAGGGTGGTCCCCAGGAAAGGGGGAGGTTCCCTGCCCCACCCAAGGGAGGGTGGAGCTGAGCAGGAAGAGGAGAAGCTGCAGAAGAGACTAAGGAAGGAAGCAGGATGGAGCAAGGAGACCTGGAGGAGGCACATGGAGCCTAGAGACACGTGAAGAAACTGCGCTTGTCTTTTGGTCGTGGACTAGGTGACACAGATGTGGGTGAGACCCGTGGGGAGGTGACAATGGCAGCTTTTATCTTGATGTTGATTTTGCTCTTTTCCTTCCGGGCTTGTCTGGTTGTTTGTGACCCTTTTCTGTGGGTCCCCACTGGAAGATGTTTTAGACTTGTGGCAGGCTTTGGGGCCTTGCTCTGGGCCGACCCCATATGGATGGAGTTTTACCCACGAGGGGATGGGTAACTTTGGGTGCTTCATTTAGAAACTAGACTCTTTGCCTTACCTGTATTGTTTTCTAGTTTTTATTAAAGTTCCTTCCCATTAAAGTGTCATATGTTTTGTGTTGATGCGGCAGATGGCAGAACCCATTTAGAATAGGCAGGTTTGTGGGGGTCTGGGCTGCCCCTCTCTCTGTCCTATAACAGATTGACCAAAGTACACTGCTGAGGGGAGCAGCGGGCAGCAGGAGAGGTCTGCGTGCCATGTGGGACCCTCACCCGGTGGCCAGGGATCGAACCGGCACTGCAGAGGCTGCAGCAGCTTCACAGCCCAATGCTCAACCGCTGCGCCACCAGGGGAGGCCCAGGTTGCAACTCTTTAATAAGAATCCTAGCCAATTTATTAATGGAGTTATTTATACTTCTTGACTGAATAATAATGATTTCTGTTGGTTGGTTAAGATCTATCTATAACTTCATTCTAGAAAGTAATCTTTAAGATTAAACTCCATGAAGTTCAAAGATTCTTTTGACAATTCAGGAACATTATTTATTGTCAGACAGTGGTGACTGAAACAAAATCAAAGACACACAAATCATTGAAATGGCTATATTTTGAGGATTTTGTTCATTGACCTTCTTTACAATGCCCTACCTATGACTGGGACATGTTATGAGGAATATTTGAATATGTGTTTATGTGAATAAATATCAATGTGTATATATGTAATGTATTTGTGGTTTTATACTTTTCAGACATTGAAAAATTTTATTAATCCTCTGCAATATTTCAACATTCTTCCATAGGTATCTCTGATGAATATATAACACCTATGTTTAGTTTTTATAAAAGTGTTGGAGAACTAAAAATGACTCAAGAAGAGTATGCTTTGCTTACAGCAATTGTCATCTTCTCTCCAGGTAATTTCAATGTTACATTTTTATCCCATTCCTACCCACCTATTCCCACAATATAATAGTAATCTTATTTATGAAAGAAAAATTGGAAAAACACAAAAATAAAGGTAAAATGGCCTATGATCCCACCACTCACATTGAACCATTGTTCACATTTCAATGTAGTTTCTCTCAGCTTTCCCCCTAAATCTTACACTTACTCATTTAATAAATTTATTCTGAACACCAACTATGTGCTAAACATGGTTCTACATATTGAGGTTATGACAGTAAAGAAACAGGCAGGTTTCAACTACATGGTGCTTACATTCTAGGAGGGTGAGAAAGACAATAAATGAAAAAACAAAAGGAGGTGGTAAGTATTAGAGAACTTATAAAGATGCAGATGTTGGAAAGAAAATGGCAGAAGATGGTATTTTAATTAGTGGTCACATTACAGGGCAGGGTGGGGGGCAACCCAGCCAAACCGTTCTGCTCTGCCTTCTGCCACATGAAGACAAAAACCTGTAAGACCGTTAGTGGACAGGAACTTTAATACAATTAGTGTGCAACAGAGAAAAGAGGAAGAATAAAGTTTCCAAATCAAGCACCCCAATTTACCCATCCTGACATGGGTAAATACCCAGCCAAACAGGCTTGGCCCAAAGCAAGGTCACTGAGGCCTTCAAGCCTTCCACAGTCTCAGGCACATTCCAGCAGGAACCCATGGAAAAGGGTCCAGAAACAGCCAAACAAGTCTGGGAGGAAAAGAGCAAAATGAAAATCAAGATAAAAGCTGCCACTGTTAACCTCCACATGGGTCTCTCACCTACATCTCTTTCAACCAGTCCAAGACTGAGAAGCAAGGGCAGCTTCTGCACATGTCTCTCTGACCCAAGTGCCTCCTCCAGGTCTCCTTCTGACTCTCCATCCTGCTACCTTCTCTGAGTCCTCTCCAGCTTCTCCCTGCTCAGCTCCACCCTTCCTTGGGTGTGGCAGGGAAACTGGAAACTTCCCTTTTCCTGAGACCACCCTGTTACAGTCAGGGAAGACTTTTTGAAGCAATTGTTGATATTTGAATAGCAACCTGCATGCAATTATGTATTTTATAACAGAGAATACAATATGTGCCTGATAGTTAATTGTAATGATACACAATCATTTACTTAATTTTTGCCATATATTTGGATATTCAGGATCTCCCCATTTTTGTTTGTTTTAAACAATGTTGAAATGAATACCTGTGTATATAAAATTTGTCAACATTTTTAGATTACTTTAATTACTTGGAAGTAAGGGATACCATTGATACCGGAATTGTCAGGTCTAGTCTCCCAGCCAGGAACGGATCCCAGGCTGCAGGGCAGCACTGAGCCCCAGCCACTAGACCCCCCAGGGTTGGTGTCTCACGAAGCCGCAGCAGGAACTTCGCAGACGCTCAGGCAAGCAAGCGAGAAGAGGCAGTTTGTTTAGAAAAAGAAAAAGTTTATTGAGGCGAAAAAGAACAGAAATAAAGTGGGACTCCCAGGCCAGGGAACCAGGCCTGGGAGGGGCAAGGAAGCCAAAGTGGAATTGTGTCTCAGGGAATATATACCTTTTTTCCCTCATTATTCTAAAACTTCACCAGTCTCTCTGTGATTGGTTAGTTCTCGGCTGTCTCTCTTAATTTGCTACTGAGTGGGGATCTTCACATTCCTTATCTAACAGCTTTCTCTTTCCTCATTTGTTGCATCTTTAAATTTATGGCCCAGTCCTCTGGATGGGCATCCCTGCATTGAAGTTAAACAGCTGCCCTTCTAAGGTGTCCATAAATTAAACCACTCTCCATTTCTCCAATCTCCGCCTCCCTTTACCACCTGAAGGAAACCAGGACCAGCATTAACAATGTTGTCCTTGGTCCTGGCATGTTTGTTTTTCCTAATGCAAT